TGCGTTAGTATCAGGAGAGATTCCAGAGCATCTGTTTGCCTTTCATTCATGAAAGGGAGTCATGAATGGGATGGGAGGCTTAAAACGGGGGAGAAAATCAGAACTATTAAAGGAGGTGAAGCTGGAAAACAGAATTTGGGTTTTTGTTGTCTTTTTTTTCAGGTAAGACCAAATGTACTGGTTATCATGCTGACAACCTAGTTTTTCATATTGCATCCTATGAACTATCAGCAGACTCCGTCTGTGGTCGGAGTGTTAAAGTGTTAAGTTTTCTCCAATTGTATTTGGAAAGTCCCTATCCTATAGTCCAGTGCTGCAACTCTTGTTGAAGTGGAAAGAATTTATCTTTTCGGATTTCGGTGGAGTTACCAAAACAGTTTGTCCTTTGCATATTTTGGAAAAATATGATCACAGATGTAAAAGGCTTCCTGTATTATATGTGCTTGCATATACAACATTCTTAACTTTAGATACTAAGCTACTGTCTATTTTAATGTTTTGATATTAAACCTACAAAGATAGGGAATTCTGAATTATTGGCTAATGCTTAATATAGTCAGTGAATTATTTTATCTAGACACAAAGTGGTAAGTAAAGATTTTTAGCCTGATCTCTGAATTTCCGTGCAGTTGTGGGTTTGTCAGACCTTTAGCAATATGCTAAAGCAGGAGGCTAAGGGACTGTGGTTTAATATGGACTAATGCACATGGCAGGGCTTTTGCATTAGTGCCATTTCTTTCAATGCATTATAGTGAAATTGTGTTTTAAAACCAGGCAAATTATTGATGCTTCTATTGAATGGAATAATTTATTGTAGAAATATTTTAGTCTGTTGGCATTTCATCATCAAATAACAGTAAACACAATGCACATTTCCCATAAGTCTGTTCTCAAAAGCCAAATATTTACCCTTCACTTACTCTAACAGTAGCATTGTAATAATCTGTCTTCAGGCAAAACAGAAAAATATGTTTAGGGATGACCTTTTAACATACAATAAAAGTAGGAAATATACCCCAAAAATTGTCCAATTAATATTTTAGAAACTGGTGTTCAATTTTAAAATTCAAGAATTTCTTTTTTTCTTTTTGCTGATTGGTGATTTGGTGATTTAGTGACACTAAACTTTCAATCTTACCTTTCTAGTAGCCTCTTTAATGTTCTTAGTCTACTAGATGATTGTTCACTGCATTTAAAATCTGTAAAATAATTAGAATCAGTCCACTTAAAATGACCAAAAGGGCGTAAATAGCTGAAAGAACTCATTGGGTTTGCCTGTCAGTCAGCCCGTTTACTGAGTTTTTCAGGTGCGTCCAGAAGCTTTTACTTAGATTCATTGGAATTTACAAATGGTAAGCTCTTTTTCCAATGTATTTGAGGCTGAAAATGAACAAAAATAATTATTCAAAACTCAGGACTTCACACTTAAACTTACCTGGGTAGTAGTATGCCAAAATTATTGTATTTGTTTTTCTTTTGCCAAGTAAAAGAAGGTAGTTGCTTGCTCGCTGTGTAACTCATTTGAAACCATTTATGTTTTCAAAAATGCACAAATAATTAAGTATCATCATTTAGTATCTTTTCCTTATTGTCCCCTTCACTGTAATTTCAATGGCAAGTGCTAGTTAATGCTGAATGAGAACTCAGGCAACATAACTCTTCTAACATAATGCTTGGGGGATTGTAATTGTAATTGTCCATATTCTACATCATGCCTGTCCTTCACATATTTTTTTACCTTTCTACAATCACAAAAAGTAATTCCATTTTGACTGATTATTGCCGAAGTCTTTCTTTTGCCTCTCCGTGTCTATCACGGTTTTGATGAAGTATCCCAAAAAGTGTTTGCTGTATGAAAAGGGTTCTTGCTAGAAGCAGAATATGGAAGTAGTTAGAGGTAGTTCGTTCTTCACAGTTTGAGTCTAATTTCTGACGTTTTATGGCTTGCGCTCACAGTAAACATTTCTTTTGTGTAACTCTCCGGCCCAGGAAGACAAAGGTGTTGAGTGTATTATATTTTTTTCTGCAATAGTCCCTATCTTTTTATTCATCTAGGCCACAGACGACTGTAAAAAGGATTACCACTGCGTGCCTCTGTAGTTCAGCATTAGACCTGTTGAAGCATAAATTCCCTAGCTATACAAATACCAAGCTAAGAACTACTAATAATGTGAGCTGTGCTGCCACGTTTGATTTGATTGCTGTGGCTTTGTCCAGTTTTAGTGTTAACATCAACTCTGTATGAAAGCCAAAGCGCTCATCGCTGTACAGCTTTTTGGGGGGAGGAAGTCTTGCATGATCCCCTAGGAGCAGGACGGCCACCCAGCACCCTTGGCTCTTGTAGGAAGCTCTTTATAGTTAGAGATTTTCCACGGAGATTTTTATGCCTTCACTTGCCCAGATGTCCTTTGTGCTTTAGAAACTGCCGTGTTCACGTGCAGTGTATTTCTCTTCAGTGGCATGGAGATTGTCACTTATCTGGTCTCAGGTACCTTTCAAGAGCTATGTATGTTAGAACCAGAATTCTGATCTAAAAATGAAGAAAAAATAAACGGTTGTAGGTGGGTAGGTAGGTTGCATGAGTCTGCTTTACAGCTAATAACATACTCTTTCCTTAAAAGCTAGGACAGAATATTATTCTGTTCACTTTTTGAGTTTTGGTCATGCTGTCTTTCCACATGTCTTCAATTGTCCGTTTTGTTCACATTTTTCTAGGCTCAAGGTTTAGGCAAGAGTAGCCTGGATAAGCTTCAAACAAAAACGCTTCAGGTCATGTAGACATGTTGTAAAAACAAAAAGAAAAATTAGAAAGGTTGTATATATATTCTATAGTTAGAAAAGTTTGCTTGTCTTGATGTATTTATGTTCCAAGCCTAGAGAATCTCTGCAAGTTGAAGATGTTCCCTTTGATAAACATCAGACAGTGCATTATTATTTATGAAAACTAAATTATTAAGCTCTGTCTGCGGGATGGATATTTTACAGTGAGCAAACAATGGTTCAAATTCATACTGCTCATTGAAAAGGAAATTCCTTTTAATCTTACCTTTTTGAAACTCTTGTCTTTCTGCAATCTGAACACTTTTCTGGTATCTTGTTTTACAAGTACACACTGTCTTAGATAGGCTTTTGTCTTTGTTCGTCACGTAGGCTAAAAAAGTACTTGGGTTTTTAATTTTGTTAGCAGCAGTAACATGATTTTTAGAAAGTATTTTGTATTACTTCCATGTACCATATTTAGAAATGCATAAGATTTTGTCACTATGTCCAGTCACCAGCTGTCATGAACACCCTCTTATAACCTGTTTGTTTAAGTTCCCAGCTTTGATTTTAAAAGCAGTTCAGGCATTTTGCTCCAATTGCCCTACTCAGAAGTCTGTTTTTTGACCCAGTGCCCCGTCTCCCTGGTGGAGGACCAGGATAGAGGACCATTGCATCCCCTCTCAGTCCTTGCTCTCCTCAGCTAACAAGGCCAAACTCAAACAGTCTTTCCTATGGCAGACTCTTCTTTCCCCAGGACATTCTAGTAGTTGTGCTCCGTATCTTGAAATTAGAGTGTCTTTCTTGAATGAGCTGTCTTTAAGCAAATGCCTAAAGTTCTATAATTCTCCTGGAAGTAGTTCTCCCAGCACTTCATAGGTTTGTTTTGTTTTTCCCTTAACCGCATCATTTTGCTTCCTTTGACTGAGCAGCTGTTACCCAGATTGGTTCCTTTTCACTGTGAGAAAGCAGAGAGAAATATGATTTCTTTATTACGGTCTCTATGTCCATGTGTAGTTTTGAATAGAACAATAGCAATATTTTTGGCATGTAGAAGTTAAATTGCAGGTCATGTACACAAGTCAGAATATTTTTCTGCAGTAAAAATGTGGGTAACTTGAACATTAGGGAAAAAATGTTTGTTTTAGTTTCTGGAACTTTACTATTTAAGATAACAAATCTTCTGTGCCTGGTCATGGCTGCCAGACTCATTGATATCAACAAGTTGAAAGTTTTCCTTTCCTGTCATCACATCTGATGTTTTACTAGGTTTTGTTTATTATGTGTTTACACAGTAACAGTCCAAATATAGTATCTGGCTTGGGTTTAGAGATTTTTTCTAAAAAGTGAAATACAGTTTGCTTTCCTCTAACATAAATATTATGCAATCTCCCAACTCCTGCAGTATATAAGCAAGGTACTATGCAAATGCTCATTTGTCCTTAAATGCCCATGGAAGAAGTTTGCAAATCTACCAGATTTTATCCATCCTTATTTATAGTCATGGGACAGACTCTTGTGCAGTGTAAACTGAGGTAAAAGCAATCGGCTTATTTTACCCACAGTGATGACATGTAAGTGCCTGTATTACCTCACAGCACATCACAGCATACCCTGACATGCTACTCAGTTCTTTCATTTACTCCAGAAACTCATCAAGTCCCTTTGGTATAAATACATACATATTAAAAAAAAATCTCTCAGGAGCACAAAGCTCTTTAAAGTCAGATTTCCATAAATTTGCACAGTACTAAATGCGGGCGGTGTTAATCAAATAAGAGCAAATAAGTACATTAAAGTGGAAACATTACTTAAGGAAACAGCAACTGTTCCATACTGTTTCTATGTGGTCTGACTTGTAGTTGATATTTTTTTTAATTAAAGAATGGTTTGAAAGTGCCTATAGGCAATCAAAAATTATAAATGATTTTTTAATTCTTATTTTTGCTGGTTCAGCTGGAATTATAGCTGTCTTAATCTCTTGAATTTACCCTTTTTTTGCTGTTGCCATAGTGAAATCAGGTAGAGAGCAGACAAAGCTATTCTCTTTCTTCTCTTTGAACTTAACTAAAAATAATGCTTAATCTATTGGTATGGCTTTAGAGCCAGCTTTTAAAAATGTTAATGTGAGTACATTAACAGTGGTACAGGGAGAAAGATACACAGGTCTGTAGGTAAAAGTCTTACTTACCACCAGCAAAAAATCAGTACATGTCTGACCAGTTTGTCCTATGTTTTAGGCGTAGGGGGACTTTAGGAGAAAATGCATATACTTGTGTCCATTTATACGTCTTGCCCTCAGGTGCTTCCTGTGAGACTTTTCAGAGAGGGGCAGGAGTGGAGGCAGCTGGTTTGGTGGGTCGGCTGGTTTTTGTAGCGGGGGCAGAACACGCCGTGCAGCTTCCAGGGGCCGTTGGTTGGTGTGGTGGAAATAGCGGCCTGGTGGAAAGAGCTTTGCTGCGAGTGACCGAGGTGGATTAACGAGTGCAAGACTTGGTGATGAAAAGCTCCAGATGCCATCGCTGATTCCTCTGGTTCTTCAGGAAGACCATGCCAGTCTCTCTGAATATTTGCATTTATACTGGAGTATAATGATAAGTAATGGCTAGGTATTGTATACAAGTCCATTGTTCATAGGCCAATTTATAAGTCATTTCAGTGATTTAAAGCTGTGTGTAACTGTTGAGTGTAGAAATACTAATTTATAAAAAATACTCTGCTTCAGAGGTGCAGTCAGAGATTTTCAAATCTCTGTTAGAAGTCAGAGGTTGATACAGAAAGCTCCTAGAATTGGAAGGAAAGGTATAGTTCAAAGCACATAAGTGTTCACTGCCTATTCAGTTTTAATGAGATAGAGCTGTTCTCCATTCTTACTTATTTATGGGTCCTGCTTTTCCATTTTTACCTTGCTTTCCAGCTAGCAACATTCTGGCTTAACCAGGCAGGGCAACTTCCTCTCTGGCAAAAATAATAATAATAATAAATACTAAATGCTATAAAACTAAGGGGACTGATGGGAAAAATATCTTATATATCTTTTATTGTTTGTGTCAGGCTTCCACTACTCAGGTCAAGTTGAAGGTGTCATTCCCATCTTCAGCATATTCTGTGTCTGCACTCAGGTTGGAGCAGATGGAAGCCTTTTGTCAGCACCTCTCCTTAAGTTGCAGTGTGGCTCTTCATGACAAATGGATCTGTGTGTGAGAGAGAGCTCTCTCAGGGGGGTCCTGCAGGAATATAACAGCCATGGAGTTCAAGAACTATTTTTAACCTATTAGGTATTGGAATGTAGAACTTTGGCATTACAGTAACAGGGACAGAAAAATAGAGAGCAAGTGCTTTAAAAACTAAGTAAGAAACAGTAATATCCTCACAATTTTTGATAGAGAAGGAGAGGAAAAGATGGATGCCCATGGTAGGTAGTAATCTTACCACTTAATGTACTTGTTCTCAGTTTTCAGGATGATATGAGCGATGTGAGAACCTAAACAAGAAGGTAGCCATGCTCTGGTGGAAGGTTGCCAGCCCCCGGAACGGCTGGTCAAACTGCCTGACGCTCTGCACTTCCCAGCTACTGCTTCCAAGCTTAAGCTGTCTTTGGAAAGAAAAGCTGTATTTCATCACTTGTCTTCTTGTTGTCTTTCCTCTTTTCTCTTAGTTTTCTTTTGTCATAAAGGGAGCAGAACTGACCAAGGCTAGCTGCTCCATAGCTCTTTTTGTATGTTCGTTTGTTTAAAAGGATACTTATCATTGATGTCCTTAAAAGACTGCCAACTAACACTTTTCGGTTTTGTGTGTTTAATTAAAATATTTAAAATATTTTAATACTGGTTGTTATCAGACACATAAGCCAGCAACAACTGAGAAGAATCCTTTTATCATACATAATGTTAAGATCGTAGCATTTCATAGGGGAGGTATTAATATCTCACCCACTGATAAAATTTTTAGACTCCATTTTCAATATAGCAGTTTTTGAGGTGCATTGCAATGGAATAGTACAGGTGTGCCTATTATACTGACCTTTGGCGAAAAACTGTAGTAGCTCACAGTTTGTTTTGAACATGTCTAAAAGGATTTTTCCATATGTAACACACAAGCCTTGTGGCTATTGGAATAATAACCTTCATACCATCCTTGGGAACAGCTAACATACAAATGCCATATAAGGAGTAAATTACTTGACACAAGATAGTCCAGCAATTGCATGGAAAGATAAAAATAAAACGTAGGAATACTGAGTCCAACTTGTCTTCCACTGTTCTCAACATAGTGCTCTAATTACATGAGGAAAATTATTCAGACTAATGTGATTTTATCAAGTTTCAAACTTTTGGCTCAATTCTCCTCAGACATGGATTGTAATATGTCACTGCCAATCCTGACAAATCTGCTATTGCTTTTATGTCTTTGCAAGTGATAGCATTTTCCTCTGATTCTCCCTCTCCCTTTTTCTAGGCTCCCTTATATAGCAATGTGCATTTATATAGCTTTCGTTTGAACAGAATTCCTTATTTTAACAGTGAGCCCAAAAGAATCAGTGCATACTAGCAAAGAAAATTAAAATGAACTTGTTTCTAATGTTAGTATATACTACTAAGAAAGAACAAATAACTTATAAATAAACCTAAATAGCATTATGAATTTTTCAGAAGTGGCATGGAATTCAGCTGTGATTGGCTGACAGATACATATAAAATACATATGAAATTATATACATTATTATTATATAAAATGAAAGAGAAACAAAAAGCTGTTTCCTGTGGAAATTGCAAAACGCAGATTACTGTGCACAGCCTCAGTTATGCATCTATTTGATCTAGTTATGAACACAATAGCTCTACAGATTGCCTTGATGGTCTCCTAAAGTCTCTGGAATATTTTTCCACCTAAACCCATACAAACTGTTTTCCTAGTCTGTTGACAGACTGGACGTTTTGCAGATGATACAGGCTGCTACATCAGAGCTGTGTATGTCGGGATGCAGTCTTTCCAAATCACAGCTAAAAACTGAATTATTTTTGAATACGGAGTGGGGCAGGGGGAGAGCGCGGCGCGAGGCACCCTATGCCAGCCCGGATTGCGGAGGCACCGGGTACAACGTATGGACTAAGAGACAAGCTGAAGAGCCTCAGGCATTAGAAGTGATACATTCGTAATGAAAGGGGTGAATGCCAGGCACAATTTAAGTTTGCCAGCAGATTCCAAAGGCGGCAACGATGCTCCGCATGGGAGGAGGTGTTTGGTTCCCTTCTGGGCGGACATGAGGTGCCACAGGAATAGGCAGCAGGCTTAGTATTTTCATCTCTTCCCTGCTTAATACAGATAGGTGACTTCCACTTTGAGAGGCAGTGAATTTAAGTACAGCATCACACATAAAATATTTCTGCCTGTCAATTATGCACAATAGTGTGTTTGGCAGTTAAACTGCTAAGCAACATTGTGTGAAGATGCTCAGTGTGATTTAGTATCCAGTCTTGGACTAATTCTCTGATTTGGGAAGTTGGAAGTGCAAACGAGCTGTGCTCCATTTGTTCATTCATCTGTTATATTGTTTGTTTTATTGTATATTTGTGTATAAGGATGCTGAGATATGGAATTGTATAATAATTCATCAAAATGTCTTTGAATACCTTTAGTGCTGGCTCCAAGATTCATACTCAGCAAATGCTAAACATGCAGGTAGGCAGTGCAGTTATTTATAGACATTTTTGCTATCCAAATTTGCTGAACGACGTTTCTGATTATCTTGGTTCCATTTCACAAAAAAAAATATTAAGCAAAAATAAATTGCAGTGAGAGCAGTTTGGTGTCCCCTGTTAAATGCACTTTTGGCATGCCCTATCACTCCAGCAAGCACCGCCGCCAGATAAACAGCTGCACAGAAAGAAGGGGTTTCTGCAAACCACGAAGCACTCCCAGATTATGCAGATATCATCTTGCCCTGGCCTTAGGATGGCCTGTTCCTTCAAGCCTAAAAATAAACAACTATTAATCACCTAATGGCAGCATGAGTTGACCAGCACTTATGACTGCCTGGACCTCAATCTGACTGTACTCAAAAGCTTGTCTCATGTTTTCTGTCACCCAGGATAAGAGGTAGTTTGCAGCCAGGCATTTCTCTGAGAAGACTGCTACAAGCTTAGCAAAATGTTTAAAATAACCTCAATAACTCCTCTCAACACTGATACAGAGCTTAAAACGTGTGGAATCAAACAATAGTGCCCTTGTGCCTGCAGCCTCTGAGAGGGAGCTCATCAGCACAAGGTTTCTCAGGGAAACTGAGCAACAGGCGAGAACTGCAGAAGGACAGGAAGAATCCTGTTTTTTTTTTTTTTTTTTTTTTTTGCTGAGTTTTGGTCAAAAAGTGTTCTTCTTTACAAAGACACTATATGGCAAAAGAAAGCTGTAATGCATGCCACCACCTTTTCTCCTCCTCTTTTTCCAAGGCCCTAAGTACCCAATGGTTGAAAGGCGAGTGGGGGGATTAAAAAGTGTTGCTGCTCGGCACAGGAATTCATTCGCTGTCTTGTAGAAGTATGGGAGAACCATGTGCTGATGAAGTTTCTTTTGAAATTTATGAAACTTCAGAAAATGCTTTCTCATACTGTGCGTTTCAGACAGAGATTTTTGATGGAGATATTTTCCATCATTCTGCCCATCATCCAGGCTGCCTTTTTAAATCACTTTGCCCTGTGCTAAGATGGTTAAGCAACGTAACATCCTTACACTTCACAGAAATACGGGCCCATCCCCAGATTACCTTGTGAGGTGCCTGGAACACCTCCATTTGCTCTTGTTTGAACCAACAAAATTGGGGACATTCAAAGTTTAGGTGGTGTTCTTGTTTTAATGACATGCTGCCCTGAGCCACTGTGCCTTTTCTTTCTCACTCACTGCATCAGTCTTCGCTTGGAAAGCCTTGATCTCTGTAAATCTCAGTAACCTTAATGTTATTTAATCATAGCTTTTAAAAGTTAATTTCCATGAGAACTGTATTTAAGAAAAGAACCAACTTGTCATTGAGGATTATAAAAATCCTTTATTTGCCTGGAGAACAGTACTTAGATCTGAATGAATCCTCTAAGTGAATAATGTGTTTCGACAGTTTGTTTATTAAAAATGTATTATGCAGCTAAAAGTTACATTGTATTTATAATACTTTTAATGACAGCGACTTGCACAGTTTTTGGTGCATTCTATTAATATGCATTTAAAAATCACGCTATGCAAATTCTAAAGTATTTTAACATGTTTTTATACCCGCATAAATATGACTTGGTTTGTTTTTATTTCTCCAAATGGCGGAAGCAATTAAATCATATTATAAGCCTGATGAAATGTGGCCAACAAAAATGCTGCTCTTTGATTGATGCCTTAACAGCCTCATCACACAGATAAAAAGGCAACCAGTATAAATAAAAGCTCATTAAAATTTAATTGTATCCAGGAGAGGTGTGACTAGAGCCCTGATATTAGTT